CGAGCAGGAGCCACCAGCTTCACGTCGTCGTCGTTCTCCTCCTCCTCCTCCTCCTCCTCCTCCTCCTCCTCGCCCTCGTCGTCGTCGTCCTCCGTTTACTCCTCCTCTTACTCCCCCTCTGACTCCCCATCCCCGCCCCCCCCCCTCCTCCTCTACGGCGAAGGCGACGACCTCCTATGGGGCGCCCTAGGGCAGCTCGCGAGCTCACGTCGCGGGGCTCTTGCCACCGTTGTTGTTCTTGTCGCCGTTGCTGATACTCGTGTTGCTCTGGCTCTTGATATTGCTCTTGCTCTTGCTCTTGCTCTTGTTCTTGCTCTTGCTCTTGCTCTTCTCCTTCTCGCCCCTCTTGGATTTGAAAGTGCGCAGCGTTTTTTTTCTGGCGCTGCCGCTGCAAATCCTGCACAACTGGGTCGACCTCGTACCCGCTGAAACAGTGGATGCACATGCCCGTGGGGATCTCGCGCGGCACCGCGGGGTTGAGGAGCCCGAAGTCACGATCGGGGAAGACCCTGGGGAGGGGGGCATCGCGACGACAGGGCCTACGAGGGCCCCCCACATAGCCCAGCATGGCCCCAAGACGGCCCAATGTGGCCCCAGGATGGTCTCAGCTGGCCAAAGATGGCCCCAATATGGCTCCATAGGGGAGGGGGAGGGAGGGGGCGGGGAGTGGATCCACAGGTGCTCTAGCAACCCCTTTTTGGCACCTGTTGGTGACTGGGTGGCTGCAGGTAGCGGGGGGGGGGGATGGAGGGCAGGAGCGGCTCGCCCTTCGGACCAGGGTTGATCAGGGCCAGGGTTGATCAGGGGAGCTCGGAGCTCGCGGGCTCCATCGGGCCAGGGTTGATCAGGGGAGCTCGGAGCTCGAATCGACGACGACGACGACGGCGACGACGACGACGACGACGACGACGGCGACGGCTGCGGCGACTGCGACGGCAACGGCGACGGCAACGGCAACGGCGACGGCGACGGCGACGGCGACGGCGACGGCGACGGCGACGGCGACGACGACGACGACGACGACGACGACGACGACGACGACGACGGGCAGGGCATTCCCTCAGCGGATGTCCTGCCGCAGCCGACGTCCCACCCCATGCCACAATCGAAGCAGCAGATGGCCATTCGGGCCGCGGGCATTGTTGCGCGATGAAGAATGCACCGCTGTATGTCACTGCGCGCTGAGCCTTCAAGTGCAGCGGGAGGGTCGTCGCCCTAGGATGCCCTAGAAAGGCCCCGCGGGGGGCCCCAGGAAAGCTTGGGAGGAGCCCGAGAGGGCCGAGGACCCCAAGATGACTCCGTCGTAGTCGTCGTCGTTCTGGAGGCTTCTGGGCGCTTCTTGCTCACGGGCTCGGCCGCCCAAAAATACAGCCCAGGGGCGCCGCCGAGGGGAGTTCCTGGGGCAGCCAGGGGTGCCCGCGAGGGGCAATGCCTGACCGCTTTGGGGCATCCTCTTGGGGCGCTTTTGGGGCCACATCGCACATCGGGCAATCCTGGGGGCCTCCTGCGTATTTTTGTCGGGGGTGCGCTTTGCAACGGGCGTCAGGTTGCCCAAACCATGGCCCCATGAGGGCCCCCAGGCGGCCCCATGAGGGCCCCGCACACGCATGCGCCACTCCATGAGGGCGAGCTCGCGCCCACAATCGTTGGACCATTTTTCGGGTCACGCCTGGAGAAAGATGAGGAGGAGGGCGAGGAGGAGGAGGAGGAGGAGGAGGAGCAGGAGGAGGAAGAGGAGGTGGAGGAGGAAAAAGGGACTGGGGAGAGGAAACATTTGAATGCGACCCCCCCTTGGAACAGAGCCTCCTCCCAAGGGGAGGTCGCACTCAATTTCTGGGCCACGTGGGCCGCCACGTGGCCCCACGCGGCCCACCACGTGGGCTCTCCGTGGCTGGGGGAGGAGGAGGAGGAGGAGGAGGAGGAGGAGGATGAGGAGGAGGAGGAGGAGGAGGAGGAGGAGGCGGAGGAGGAGGAGGAGGAGAAGGAGGAGGAGGAGTTGCTCTAAGCGGAACTCTCAATCGTCCAGCTCGGGCGAGCCACGAGCTCTGGACTCGGGGATCTGCAGGAATCGCGGCCCCCGTCTCCTCCCGTTCCTCCGTCTACCGTTCCCGCGCCCCCTCGGCCGAGCCCAGCTGCGGCGACGAGATGTCGAGCGAAGCAGCGCAACCGCTTGAAGTTGGATGTCGCGCGTGGTTTCGAGTGCGTATCCAGGGTGTATCCAGGTGTATCCCAGGGTATCCAATGGTGTATCCCAGGGTGTATCCAGCTGCACGCGCCGACCTGGGATACAGAGGATGTCTCAGGCGGGAGCGCGTATCCAGGTGTATCCCACTGAGCCCCAGAGGTGTATCCCAGGGTGTATCCAGGTGTATCCCAGTGTATCCCGCTCCTGCCTCTTCAACGCCCTCGCCCCTCCCCCCTCAAAATCTCTTCACATATACGTATGGTTGTTTTCAACGACGTCCCAAAGCGGTCGGCGTCAATCGGGCGCGAGCGCCTCTCCCGCAGCGACCGCCGAGTCTGCAGGCTGCCAGCGGCTCTCGAGTTTGGCACACTTCCCACAGTGTGCCATATGAAACAAGCGTGGGATCCCCACTCACCCCTCCTCCCCTGGCCCCCTCCATCCACCCGCCCTCACGTCCCCATGATCACCTCACGGGGAGGTCTTGGCACGCTTGCGAGTCTTCTTGGGGTCGCCGCTGGCGCGGCCCCCAGCAACTGCGGCCCTCTTCGCGCTCACGCGGCCGCGCCCGGTACCGGAGCTGCTGCCCTTGGCCGGAGTGCCGACTGGGCCTGCCGCCGCGGCGCCCTCGGCCACATCGACCTCCTTCGCCGCGGCCTCCCCCCCCTCGGCTCCGTCGCCGCTCGCAGCGGGCGCCTCCACAGCGGGCGCCTCCACAGCGGGCACATCGTCCATCTCCTCCAGACAGCCTCTGAGGGAATCGTCATCCTGACCCTCCTGCTGCCCCCTCCTCATCCTTCTCCGCCGTCGTCGTCGTCGTCGCCGATCCTCCTCCTCGATCCTCCTCCTCCTCCTCCTCCTCCTCCTCCTCCTCCTCCTCCTCCTCCTCCTCCCCCTTCTCCCCCCTCGCCCTCCTCCTCCTCCCTCCTCCTCCTCCACCCCCCCAATTCGGGAAGGGGGGTGGGGAGGGCAGGCGGGTGGGGGGCGCATTCGTTTCCGCAGTGGGCATGCGATCTTGGCCGTGAGGTCGCGCACGGTCTCGACGACGCCCATCATCTCGTGGAACTTCGCAAAGGCCGTGCCCCTCGTGCTCTCGGACCCCTGCGTCTTGTAGGCATCGACCTCCACCGCTAGCTTTTCGAGAGACACCAGCGCCAACTGCGCCTTGTTCAGCATCGGCCGCGGCACGTAACCCTCCGCCTCAGGCGCCGTCGCTTTCAGCGCGGCATCGTTGCACTCGGCGACCACCTCCACGACCCCCTGCAAGTGCTTCTCCATGTTGCCCAGGAGCTTCCTGGGCAGGGGGAAGTGCTTCGGCTCGGGAGGCGCGTCGCCGATCTCCTTCGCGTTGCCCTTGCCCCTGCCCTTGCCCTTCTTCTTGGCAAGGGGCTTGACCTTCTCGGTAGCCGAGACCCTCGTGACCTCCTCCTGCTTTTTCTCGACCGTGCGGTCGCGGCGCAGGCGGTACGTGGGCACCTGGATCAGCTGTTGGCCCGTCACCTGGCAGGTCAGCTTCTCGCCGTTCTGAAGCAGCAGCGCGAACGCTTCTGGGTCGTCCTTGAAACGGGGGAGCTCCTTAGCGTCCCGCACGAGCATGAAAGCCCCATCCGCCGCGAAGGTAACCTTATCGGCCTCCGTGCAGGTGCGGGTGCTGATCTGCTCCAACTCTTTGACGAGGTCATCCTTGAAGAGGCTCCTGGAACGGGCCATGAATTGGGCGCGCTCGGCCCCCTGGAGCGCGTAGAAGTTGTCTGTCGCCACGGGGTACTGCTCCTTCATGCGCTGGATGGTCGTCTTCAGCCTGTTGCAGCCCTTGCAGATCCATTTGTTGCTCTTCGGCGTGGAGTCGGACTTGCTATTTTCAGTGCCGCATGACATGCACACCACGAGCTCGATTATCTCCTTGACTTCTGCTTCCGTGGGCGCGGCCGTGGGAATTTCAGCACCATCGTCGGGCTTCTCGGACTTGACCTCCAGGGAGGCGGCGGCCTGTTGGCCATCGGCGGTGGCAAGGATCTCCTCGGGCGCCATGGCCCCCAGTGGGCCTCTGCGAATACTCTCGCGTTCGCGGGGCGAAGCCTCCAGTGCGAGCGCGCGCCTCCCCTGCAGAAGCTGCAGGACAGCCGAAACGGCAGCGGGATGGGGGCGGAGGAGGGGCGGGAGGCAGGGAAGGATGGGGAGGGGGAGTGGATTCACAAGTGCTCCAGCCCCCCCCCCCCTTCGGCACCTGCGGGGGAGGGGGCGCACAGGTGCTCTAGCCCCCCCCCCTTGCGGCACCTGTGGGGCGAGGGATTCACTGGTGCTCTAGCCCCCCCCCCCTCCCCAGGCACCTGCGGGGGGAGGCGGAGTGGGAGAGGGCGAGACAGGGGAGATGGAGGCATTGCCCCCAACGGGTGAGCGCGTTCCGCAGTGGCTCGCCCTGTAACCAGCGGGGCGTTCAAGGGGACGGTCGGGGTCAATCGGGCCCCCTTGGGCCCGCCTTTGGGGCACCCTAAGGGAGCCCGCGAAGAAGGCCCCGATGGGGGCCTCGAGAAAGTTCCACGTGCGTGTGTGTCTGTGTGTGTGTTTGTTTGATTGTTTGCTTGGTTGCTTGCTTGCTTGCTTGCTTGTTTGTTTGTCTGTTTGTGTGTTTGTTTGTGTGTGTGTTTGTGTGTGCGTGTGCGTGGGTGTGTGTGTGTGTGTGCGTGCGTGCGTGCGTGCGTGCGTGCGTGCGTGCGTGCGTGCGTGGGTGCGTGTGTGTGCGTGTGTGTGTGTGTGTGTGTTCTTGCGCACGGGGCTAGCGCAAGGCTGCGCGGGGGCGCTGGGCGGCGCGGGGCGCCTGGTGTGCTTGCCGTCAGTCCAGCGCCGCGAGGTTGTCGGGCGCCACCGCGTTGTCGGCCCCGCCGTGGAACGTCGCCTGGCACGGGCGGGGGGTGGGGGGGCAGGCGGCCAGGAGGACGATGAATTGCGATGAAATCTTGAGCAGGAGCTCAACTTCAGCAACGTTTCAGACAATGATGTGTTCGAAACCGCGTCTCTTCACCCTTCCCCTTCCGCATCTCCAGCAGCTGGCAGAGCCGCCCCAAACAACGCGCGGTTGCATTGCTCTATCGCCGAGTTCTAGGCCGCCAGAGGAAAACGAAGACAACAATTATCCCAGTGCGACCCTACATAGGACTTGGAGCCCCTAGGAAAGCAGCATTAGTACGAACAGTAAAGCTAAAGCTAAGCTAAGGCTAAGTTAAAACTAAACTAAAGCTAAGCTGAAGCTAAGCTAAAGCTAAGCTCAAGGTAAGCTAAAGCTAAGATGAAGCTACGCTAAAGCTAAGCTACATCTAAGCTAAAGCTAAGGCTAAGCTAAGGCTAAGCTACCGCTAAGCTAAGCCTGAGTTAAAGCTAAGGTGCATATAAGCTAAAGCTAAGCTAAAACTAAACTAAAGCTACGGTAAAGGCTATGCTAAAGCTAAGCTAAAACTAAGCTAACGCTACGGTAAAGGCTAAGCTACAGCTAAGCTAAAACTAAGCTAACGCTAAGCTAAAACTAAGCTAAAGCTAAGGTGCAGCTCAGCTAAAGCCAAGCTAAAGTTAAGCTAAAGCTGAGGTACAGCTAAGGTACAGCTAAGCTAAAGCTAAGCTAAAGCTAAGCTGAAGCTAAGCTGAAGCTAAGCTAAAGCTACGCTACAGCTAAGCTAAAGCTAAGCTAAAGTTGAATCTAAAGCTAAAGCTAAGCTAAAGCTAAGCTAACGCTAAGGTGCCGCTAAGCTAAAGCCAAGCTAAAGCTAAGATAAAGCTAAAGCTAAAATGAAGCTAAGCTGAAGCTAAGCTAAGGCTAAACTAAAGCTAAGCTGACGCTAAGCTACAGCTAAGCTAAAGCAAAGCTAAAGCTAAAGCTAAAGCTTTCAGGGGACTGGGGGGACCGCGGGGCGGGGACTGGGGGAACCGCCCAGGGCGGTTAGCACTGTCCGGCCCTTCAAGCTAAGAGAGTAAGAACCCTTCTAGGCAGAGCCTATGTAGGGAACAAAGTCCGTCTACAAGGATCGGTCCCCGTCTGCTAAGGGGGGGGGCGGAGGAGGTGGAGGTGGGGAAGGTGGAGGAGGAGAAGGAACACGAGGAGGAGGAGGGCGACGGCGACGACGTGGGAGGAGGAGGTGAGGGAAGAGGAGCGCTCGCCACTGCCCCCCCCCCTCCCCCGCCCCGAAGGCCCTGCAGGCGGCGGCGCCTCGTCGGGCTTCGCCTCGATGGTGACGGCGCCCTCCTCGGCGTGCCAATCTCCTCTGGACGGGGGAATGGCGCGGCGGTGCTCTCCCCCCCTCTGGGGGAGAGCTTTGGGGGAGAGCTCTGGGGGAGAGCTCTGGGGGAGAGCTCTGGGGGGGAGCTCTGGGGGAGAGCTCTGGGGGAGAGCTCTGGGGGAGAGCTCTGGGGGAAAGCTCTGGGGGAGAGCTCTGGGGGAGAGCCCCTCCCTCCGCTCCTCTTCCCATTCCCTCTCCTCCACTCCCTCCCTCCCCCCCTTCCTCCTTCCTCCTCCATCCTCCGTTTCCCTGCCCTTGCCGACGCCCGCCCGCGGGCGATCCTGGGGAGTTGGCGACGGCGCACTCGGCGCCAGGCACGAACATGGGCTCGGACTGCATCCGCGTCGCCGAAGGCAGCATGACGAGCGGGGGCATGGTGCACTCAGCAGCCCAAGAATCGTGCGAGGGAATCAGCGGCTCGTAGGTGGGGAGCCAGAAGGCTGGGCATCCGAAGGTCTGCCCCACGTGCCCCTGCTGCGAGGCCCACTCCCTGTGCGCCCTCTGCTCCCAATCCGTCTTGCGGCCTCCAGCGCTGCCGTTCGCTGCGATGTGCTCCTCGGTGAGTCGCCGCGCCTCGGCCAGCATGCCAGTGCGGCCGACGATGCAGAGCTGGCGACCTTGTCCGCGCCCGCGGTCTCGGATCGAGACCTTGCACCGAGTGGCTCTGTACACGTGGCCAACCTGGTACGCCGTGATTGTGCCGCTCGGGTACTTCTCCTGGATTCGCGCGACTGGGCCGAGGGCCTCAGGTCCGTGGTCGACGACCGACATTGGCACACGCGGGGGCGCGCCTCGGCGAGGGGGCAGCGAAGAGGCAGTGCCTCCAACCGCTCGAACCGAGGAAGATGAGGCCGAGGAGTTGGGGCGGCGGGGAGGGCGAGGAGGTGGAGAGGAGAGGGGCAAGAAAAAGGAAGGGGAGGAGGAGGAAGGCGTGGAGCAGGAGGAGGGAAAGGAAAGGGAGGCTGGGGAGGAGGAGCTGGGGAGGGAGGAGCGGCGCGAGTCGGCTCGCCGACGCCGAGGTCGCTGCGGCGCCAGCGAGAACCTCGCGCTGGGCGGCCCGAGCCTGGGCCCGCGCCTGGCTGAGCCCACACCCCCGAACCCAGTCGGGCTCGACCCCGAGTTCGAACC